CCATCTCCCCCATCTCCCCAGCCCTTTCCTTCCCCTCCCCACTACCATTGCTGATATCCCAGTGTGGCACATCTCCCTGAGCTGCCAACCACCCATTTTTCCTGGCATCTTAATTTCCCTCCATTCCCACTACTGCCCCTTCTACTGCTTGTATGTTTCAGTTTGTAATTAAAACAAGAAGCCTGTTTAATCCCATAGATCAGTGATGGCAAACCTTTTAGAGACCGAATGCCCAAACTGCAACCCAAAACACCACTTATGCATCGTCGGGTGCCGGGTGGGTGTGGCCCATTGGGTGGGTGTGACCCATTGGGTGGGCGTGGCTACAGTGGTAACAGCAGACTGGGTGGGACTAAAAAGTTCAATCAATCAATTCCAACTTTGCAAGATGTTTTTTTTTTTCCCACGAGAAGTTGAAATTGACTGATTGATTGAACCTTTTTTGTTTTGCACATGGCGGCGGAGGCCTAAAGCGAAAAGGTTTTATAAAACCCAGCTGAAGACCTAGGACTGGGGCGATGGCGCGCATGCCCACAGAGAGGACTCTGAGTGCCGCCTTTGGCATCCGTGCCATAGGTTCCGCCACCACTGACATAGATGGACCCAACCACCCAAAACAGGCATGGCACAGATCAACCCAACAGGCTTTGCATATCCCTGCTTATCGGTCCACCAAAAGAAGTGCTGCTGATGGCACTTTCAAAGGAATGAACAATGCCTTGAACTTAGGAAAAAAGGCTCCCTTTTAGCTTCAGCATTGGTTCTGGGCATCATTTAAATCGCTGAATTGCATTTTTCAGGCTGCCTCCTGTTTCTGAAAAGTGGGCATTAATGGATGTTGCAGTTTCCAGAATGACAGCTGCAACTTTTAAAAATTCAGCATTTTGTTTCCTCAGCTGATGATGCTAGAGAAGCAGTAAAGCTTGGCGTAAATGGGATTCTGGTATCAAATCATGGCGCACGTCAACTGGATGGTGTTCCAGCTACTGTGAGTATTAAAGGAAAAAAAAATTAAGAGCTGGTCTTAGGGATTGGCAAATCACTGAAATAAAGCTAAAGTCATCAGGCAGCTGGCATTTCTCTAAAACAAGAAAACGTTTTGTCTTTTAGAGTTGCTTCAGTGCTAATATATTCGATACTTGTGAACTACTATCGGCTTGCTTAGTTTTTGAAAAAGCACATCATACGAAATAGAAATATTTGCTTGTCTAATACGCGAGGTTATTTTTTTCTAGCTTAAAAGGATTGCTTCCTTGTTTTTATTTGCCAGAGCATAATAAAGCAAACTGTTACAAGTCTATACATATTTTTTACTAGTATTAATCTGCTAATTATTTTTTCATCATAAAATAATCTATCCTATCTTGATAGCATGATTATCAAAGGATATAAAAGAAGCTTGGAAGTCTTTGTGTGGCTGGAACTGGTTCAGCTTGGCTAAACATAGAACTACTTCAAATAAAGTTTAGCATGTTTAGCATTTATTTTTGCAATCTATCAATAATCTGTGACTCCCTTTCCTGTTGATGCTTTAATGTTTATAGTGCTGTATTTCAGAAAAACTGCAAACTAATTACTTGCTGTAAAGTATTCCCAACAAACATTTTAAATAAAGGTAACTAACATGGCAAACTTAAACCTTAAATTATTAAATGAAATTCAGGCACAAGAAATGCTTGATTAAAACAAACAACAAAATCACTCTAGTTAATGTACCAGCTGATTTATCTTAGAAGCTCAAGCTAATTATGTGAAAAGCAAGAGAATGATTCTAAAGAAAAAAAAATCAATAAACTTGCTATGTTAATAAGATATCCAAAGTCCTAGTAATTTGCCCAATCCTGCTGATAGGGAAAAAAAATGGAAGTTTGGCTTTATTCCCAATTTCCTGGGCTAGAATAGAGAAAAGTACATTCTGATCGTTTTCAGTTCCACAGAATCAGGTGGAACATTCGAAGTGTATTCTTGTCATGTCAATGGCATAAGATGGTTGTCAATGGATGAAGGTTGGCAATGTGTGATCCAGAAAATTACATAAATCCAGCAATTCCTAATCGTATACTTAAAAAGAAACTATGAGTTATTTAGCATGAGGGAATAAAATCTCACACATAAAAAAAAGATGTTGAGACTCTAGAAAGAGTACAGAGAAGAGCAACACAGATGATTAGGGGACTGGAGGCTAAAACATATAAGGAACGGTTGCTGGAATTGGGTATGTCTAGTTTAATGAAGAGAAGGACGAGGGGGGACATGATAGCAGTGTTCCAATATCTCAGGGGCTGCCACAAAGAAGAGGGAGTCAAGCTATTTTCCAAAGCGCCTGAAGGCAGGACAAGAAGCAACNGGTGGAAACTAATCAAGGAGAGAGGCAACCTAGAACTAAGGAGAAACTTCCTGACAGTTAGAACAATTAACCAATGGAACAACCTGCCTCCAGAAGCGATGAATGCTCCAACACTGGAAGTTTTTAAGAAGAAACTGGACAGCCATTTGTCTGAAATGGTATAGGGTTTCCTGCCTGAGCAGGGGGCTGGACTAGAGGATCTCCAAGGTCCCTTCCAACTTTTTTATTATTATTATTATTATTATTATTATTATTATTATTATTATTATTATTATTATTATTACTATTATTATTATTATTATTATTACTATTATTATTATTACTATTATTATTATTATTACTATTATTATTATTATTACTATTATTATTATTATTATTATTATTATTATTATTATTATTATTATTATTATTATTATTATTATAAAAATTGGGTTAGTGTATAAAAATTGTCTTGATCTGATGTCCAGGCTATAGGCCATTAACTACGTATCTCAACATTAATCAAGACTAGTTCCTATTATTACTAAGAGTAGGCAGAATAGTATTATATAATTAGTTTTTATAGGTAGCAAATTACAGCAACATTAGTGCAATAAACTTTAATAATATGTAAGGAAAATCCTACTTCTTTATACAGGAAGAACTGTGTTAGGTGTGCCAGTTGTGATGATCACAAATGCTATACTCTCACCTGACTCACCCTGTTGGGAATAAAATGTCCCACATTACTATAAACATCCTAAATACTCAGCTGTCAAAGGAGCATGTTCCTCTTCCTTCAATAAGATTAATACAGATAGTCCTCAAGTTATGGTTACAATTGAGCCCAAAATTTATGTTGTTAAGTGAGAAATTTGTTAAAAGAGTTTTGCCCCATTTTACAATTTTTCTCACCATGTTTGTTAAGTGACTCCCTGCCATTCCTAATAACACAATTGTTGTGAATCTGGTTTCCACATTGACTTTGCTATCAGAAGGTTGCAAAAGGGTATCACATCCAAATTTTGATTACATGGCCATGAAGATACTGCAACGGTCATAAGTGTGTAACAAAGCCCCATTGTAACTTTGAATGGTTGCTAAATGAACTTTTGTAAGTCGAGGACTACCTGTATTCTCATGCCTGAATAAGAAAAAAATGAGAATAGGCTATGTCAGTAGGTTTGTCCAATCCCTCTGACAGGGATGGATTTGAACATGCCAAGCACAATGGCCAGTGGGAGGGGCATTTCTGCTGTGGGCCAACTGGAGTCCAGCTGTAAACCCTCTTACGATGACTTCACAACAAGAAAGCAAGATTCTTACAGATACAGAATAGGCAGGTTTATTGCGGGAGAAAAAAAAAAGAATCCAGAATCTCTGTAAATTGAATATGTATATTTTGGCCATCAATTATCAGCAAGTACATTAAGGCAAGGCCTCCCTAATGCCTTTCATCTTCTTTATAATCAAGTCTTGATTTAATGGGGAGGATGCTAATTACTGATTTGAGACCACAAAAATGTCCATCTGTTCTCATTCTGCAGTATTTTGGAAACATCTGTTTTTGCCCACCCACCCCCCCGGCTAAGAAAATTCTATCATAGCAGCAAATCTCTGACCCCCAAAGATTTTTTTTCTTGATAAGATCTAGAATGTCCATATGGGAGGTCTGGTGGAATAGATGAAAAATATTATTATGCAGGTGGACTGAGAACAAGTCCCCCATTTGCCAGTTCATCTGGATGGTTAGTACTCTACTGCCCTACTCAGCACTTAACTGGAAGGAATCTCTTCTATTTTGTGAAAAAGCAAAACAAACACAAGGGAAACAAAACTTGCTTCTGATCATATAACTTGCTAAGTTATAATGGTTTATGGCAAGGGTCCCCACCTATGGTCCACGGCTCGGTACTGGGCCGTGACCTATTGGCCACCGGGCCATGGGAGTAGCTGGCGAGCCCCCCCAACTCACAGTAGTGCTGCCACGTGGGTACTACTAGCCCTGTTTGTGCATGCATGGGTGTGCTAGCATTGCTACTAGTGTCACGTGGGGGCTAATGGCCTGTTTGTGCATGGGCGCCAGCGGCCTGTTTGCGTGGGCGCCAGCAGCCCATTTGTGCATGTGCGTGGGTGCCAGCGTGCCACTGCAGGCACGCGCAGCCCACTTGTGCATGCATACGCATGCTAGTGCCGCCATGTGTGTGCCAGTTTGTGCGTGAGCGGCCACGCACACGTACATTTCCCTGCTCTTCCCTTTCCTTCCAGGCCGCCAAGCTGGAAAGGTTGGGAAGTTCTGGTTTACGGTGCATATAAACTCAAACAATTTATCTATAATAGAAGGACTTCCCCAAGAAATGTAAAAAGCATGCAAGTAATAAAAGTAATTAGGATAACAAGAATGAATTACTTCTCCATCTTATTTGATACAGTGATGCCTGGTATAACTCCACCAATCTGCGCTGTTTCCTGCCTATAGGCCTATCCCAATGTTCACCATATTATATTTGAGTGATAGCCAATATGTGGGCTGGGTCTTCGTGATGCTGTGAATGAGTACTGCTGCTTTCCTATCCCTCTTCAGGCACTGCAAATTCTATCACCTCTAACATCTTTTTGGCAAGAATTATCTGACACTGACAGATTTCAAAAAGCTAGAGATTATAGGAGATAC